CACACGCTCAGAGTATCACACTTGGGGGTCACCTGCGAAGTGGGCTCAAAGTAGCAGTTTGCAGGTGTTAGTGGGGTGGGGATCCGCGAGGGGGCGCCGCTCTGAGTAGGGTCCCGCCGCGCGGGCTTCCAAACCGGGAGGCAGAGGCGACACTGTAGACACTGTCCCCCTCCTTCGCCACGGAAACTTCCGTCCAGCCCTTGGCGCTGCGGAACTGTCGCCCCCCACCTTCTGCACCTGTTTCTCTTCCTTCCAAGGAAGAGTTGCCGCACCCTCCACCCCCGTGCCTCCGCCCCCCACCGGCCTGGCATCCTCACCCGCTCACCCAGCTGCTGTGCGCGGCGCAGTGCGGTGCCTGAGCGCGCCTGGCCGCAGAGGTCCGCCGCAGAGCCGAGCAGCGCCAGCTCCCGGCGGCTCGGGTGCAGGGCGGACGCCGCGCTGCCGCCTCTCTCCGCGTGGCTCCGCGGGGCGCTGACGGTCCTGCACCGTCGGAAAGGACGCAGCGCAACTGGGCTTGCCCCTGGGGACCTTCTAGTGGCCTCTTCGGATCCCACGGCTGGTTAATCATCGCAGGGACCGGCTGTGCACGTCTGGCTTCCACGTCTCAGCAGAAACGCCCGCGCTGGGGAAGTAAGTGTAAGTCCTAACTCTGATTCACATTCTGGGAAGGAGAATACCCACAAAAGAAGAGCTCTAGTCCTGTGAAGAAGGTATGGGAGAGGTCCTCACTAGTGTGCGGAAATCCCCCCCCCCCTCCTTTAGCCTGAAGGTGGGGGTTGGGGTAGTACCATCACCATTTTCTACTTTAGCTAGAATTTTCCTTTTCTGCTGAAGGTTTTTACTCTTTCCTTGACTTACTTAGAGAGAGGTCATCATCTTTCCAGAGCAGCAAGTTGTTAAGGTTTCTGTTCCCCACCTCTTTTTAATCAAACACCTGTCTAAAGCAGAAGGTCATATTGGATTCGCTAAAGCTCTTCAAGAACAAGTTCATTTATTTAAGCATTCACTGGTTTTGCACCAGAAGGGCTCACCCACTGGGTAGGAGCATATGGTGCACGAGGAGGAGGCAAAATTAAAAGCTTTAAGACATTTTGCAGTGGGGCACATCATTTAAAATCAGTGACATGAAATAGACAATGCTGTTGGCAAGCAAAGGCCAGACGTTCAAACACAAAGAAAGTGATCCATTACCAGACCTTTAGGTGACTAGTTTCAACTTTCTGCTTATGAAGCAAACAATCATGTCTTGTATGTAGCATTCTTGGAGTCCACTCCCCTCTCTCTAGGACTAACAAGTATGGGCTGTAAGGCATAATTCCTGGGAACTTTTTGCCTGAGAAACACTCCTGGAAGGTTTTGTGATTGACAAGATGTTAAGTTTTATTAAGCCACCTGTGGTAATAAGAGTACTGTTGCAAAAAGCCCCGCAAATTAAAAAAAAAAAAAAAGCCTTAATTCATTTTCCTATCCTACAAAGAAATATTTCTGCAACAGAAACTCAGAAGATTCAGTTATTCAAGAAAACTCTACCATTTACAGTTCTAAAATGACTTGACCCATGTGAATGCTTTCCATTGCCTTGTTTCAAATAAAGTGTTTTTTCCCTCATCGACTCATTTTTAATTGTTGTGCTTTTGAGTTTTGAATCAGTCAGCTCCCTCTATGGACTCCCTTTTCCTCTTCCACTTTTCTGGAAGCCCAACCCTAAAATGATACATTCTCGGGAGTGCTCTGACCTGGCTGAAAGCCAGCTGTGTGCTTTAAAACAGTGATTAGTGCCCATATGCAAATTGCCTGTAGATCAATAACCATTCCTGTAGAGAAGCTTTTAGGTAAAGGGGCTCTGAAACAAAGAAAATGGAACTGAAAAGAAAAGCCAAAATAAGTTAATAAACTAATATTCTTCTCTCTCAGGCTTACTCTCAACTTAGCTCATGGCAAACCTCAAACTCAGACCTCATGGAGTCTTGCTATTCCTGTTAATGAGTTGTCAGGATTGACTAATTGTGCTCTGTAAAGTCTCCTTTAGGTTCAGGAAAGTGGTGCAGCCTACCAAATACACACTTCAAGATTTAGATAATGAGTTTCACTTTTTTTCCCCCTAATTTCTAGAGAATGGAGGCAAATACAAAAGAAGGTCTAGGAACACATTATTTGAAATTTATGCAGACAGAACTAGAACATGTCAATGAAGCAAATATATGAGTATATAGAAATCTCTCTCTCTCTCTGCAGTAAGACTCCAAAAGGGTGTGTGTGTGTGTGTGTGAGAGAGAGAGAGAGAGAGAGAGGCCCCTGAGATAGGAAGTTTCCTTATGGTGTACACTGACTGGAACTTTTTAATGCTCTAATCAGAGACTGATTTAAGAGGGACCTTGGAACAAGTCTTGCAGGGGTGGTTACCTGAGTGAGAACCAGAAAATAAGCACGAGAATGTCATATCAGAGCAAAGGAATTCCGTATAAGCAATTATCTTAAGGAAAGGAAAAGAATTATTGCTTTGAATTTTGTTGACTTCAAGTGTTTGGTAAAATTATGCTTTCCTTTACCTTCACGTTTGTTTTACCAAATTATTGAGTACCATCAATGTGTTAGGTAGTGTGCTAAGGATTAAACAATGGATGGAAAAGATCCAGTTTCTGTCCTGAAAAAGACGGCTAGGTGAGGAAATAATTGCATTGTGGCTTATGCTTCTTGCAGTATTAGAAGTGGACACAGATTTCTGGGGTAACTGAGAGGCTTCCCAGTTCAGAATGGAGAAAGCAGAGAGGCATGAGAAAAGCTGATGCATTGCTGGAATTGGAAACAGTTTAGTATGAGTAAAGCATAACATATGCATTTGATATTTCAGGAGGGATGAAGCCAGGAATTCATTCAAGAAAAGCGCTGAATGTCATCTAATGGAGTTGGGATTATCTTTTATAGGCCAGTGTTATCAACGTACACGTGCAGAACCATTAGTGGGAGAGCAAATTAATGACATCATATATGCATGGTAACAGCAGATCATGCAAAACAGAACCTGTTCGAGAATGTGAGGGAGGGGAAATTAAATGCAGATAATTGATTCCACAAGTGATAAGCCGAACAGAGGCTATTGAAGCCACTCAAGGATTAGCAAGGGCAAAGAGTCATTACTATCCCCAGCCAGAGGGACACTGAGAGTAGGTGGTGTGACCAAAGCCCAGGGACCAGGGCCATCCACGGGAAATAGAATCACTATGGACTAATCCTGTGGGAACCAGGGGCACAGAGAGGCTACTGAAGCACTGCCCAGAGGAGAGAGGGACAGAGAAGAAGACAGGGGCTTCTCCCTTCTTCTGTCCTCTAAATATCTGCCAGTGCCTCCTGTGATCATACTCAGCCAGCATCCCAATGACGTGGGAGCCTGAAAATACAGTCTGCAAGAATTAACCCTCCAGAGGAAGGGTAAGGAGTGGAGGCTGGGGGCCCACCCAGGCATTGTCTGTGGGCTGAATAAATATGACTCACCTGCCAAAGTAGGTAGATGTCATTATGATCAGTAAAAACCAAATTTATTTAAAAGAAGTTCTGAATTAATGGTGGCAGCCTTTTGTCATTATGACTACATTCAAAACTTACTATGATGTTGGGCTCTGGATGTTTTTACAAGCTTGAAAAGAGAATTTCACATTAGTAACCAATATGTTATATTGTTTTAAGCCATCTGGAGACATGGGGGAAATGATATGATCACATTTGAATTTCAGAACAACACTTTTCATGTCAGAGTAGGCTCTTTCTTGTCAAAGGTAAGAGCCTGAGAGTGAACATGCTGTCCTCTTGTCATTCCCCCAGCACAAATCCTGGTTCCTGACATAGGTTTTCAAATGCTAGCTGAATGCATGTTAGAGTAAGTGCAAGCATCACAAGGGTGGGTCCAGGCCTGGCATTTTGCAGATCCTCAATTATTATTGTTAAGAATGAATGAATGAATGAAAGTAGGAGAAGAGGAAGTGAGATAAGTCAGAAGACTATTAGAATAACAGTGGTAAGAACCTGAGAAGTACAAAGTCAATGTGGTAGAAATGATGAGGAGTATTGAGAGAGGTATACCAGATCAGTCTGAGGGCTCTCTTATATGTGGTGGCTAAAGGAGTTGACAAAGCCTAGAACGGTTGCCTGCTTTTTAACTGTACCTGGTGTAATCCATGGGGATAGCATTGACTGAAGTAGGGCATGCAGAAGGAAAAGCTTTGGGTGGGGTGCAACTGGGGAAGAAAAGTGTGAAAACTTTGGTATTTAGAGGTTAGAGAGAGATATATACTTAAGATTTGGACAAATTTTCTCCATAGATCCTGGGTGGGATTCTGCTGTATGTCAGTAGGAAGTTGATTCCAAATCATCAAAAAATGCAACTATTAAAAAAAATGCAACTATTTTATACAGTCTACCTATTTTTAACACTAATGCAAACACAAGTAGAAATGGTTATGGAGTGGAATCTGCTCAGTTTATCTTAAATATGTAATACTCCCGAAGTCCAGGCACCCTGCAAAGTGTTTTAATATTCTTCTCTTTTCTGTGTAATTTGTTGCTATATTTATACATTTAAAGCAGTCAAGATATTGAAGGCCATTTTCCTTGTCAGAAATTTGATGAATTTGATGAATTTGTCAGAGTTATAAAATTAATTGGTAAAGTTTCTAACATTCATCCCACGTAAAATAGGTTGAATCCATTTGATAGCATTCGTGGTGAAATTCTGTCTATACTAGAGGTATTACATTTTACCACTGGTAATACACGTTTCAGGGACCTGGTTTAACACATCCATATTTGTGAATAGACTTATTATTGTGCCTGCATTCTTAAAATGGTATACTCTGTGAAATTTTAGGGATCAGGGGACAGGCATTTTGAGCCTCAGCAAAATGAAGCCAGTCCATTTGTGATGTGTATTTTCCTTGTTCCATATTTCTTCTACATCTTTTTTTTTTTTTTTTTTTAGTTGTAGATTCTTTTTCTGGTAGCTGAAAATGGGCCCAGTAGGTGCGGAGGCTGATGAGAACCAGACAGTGGAAGAAATGAAGGTAGAGAAGTATCATCCAAGGCAAACCACTCCCAGAGGTGAGCTGGCCCCCGACCCTGAGCCAGAGCTGATAGACAGCACCATGCTGATTGAGGTACGGATTATCCTCATATTAGCCTACTGCTCCATCATCTTGCTTGGGGTCATTGGAAACTCTCTGGTGATTCACGTGGTGATCAAATTCAAGAGCATGCGCACCGTAACCAACTTTTTCATTGCCAATCTGGCAGTGGCAGATCTTCTGGTAAACACCCTGTGCTTGCCATTCACTCTGACCTACACCTTAATGGGGGAGTGGAAAATGGGTCTCATCCTATGCCACCTGGTACCCTACGCCCAGGGACTGGCGGTACAAGTGTCCACCATCACCTTGACAGTAATTGCCTTGGACCGACACCGTTGCATTGTCTACCACCTGGAGAGCAAGATCTCCAAGAGAATCAGCTTCCTGATTATCGGCCTGGCCTGGGGCATCAGCGCCCTGCTGGCCAGCCCCCTGGCCATCTTCCGCGAGTATTCATTGATTGAAATTATTCCCGACTTTGAGATCATGGTCTGTACAGAGAAGTGGCCCGGCGAGGAGAAGAACATCTATGGCACGGTGTACAGTCTTTCTTCCTTGTTAATCCTGTATCTTTTGCCTCTGGGCATCATCTCCTTCTCCTACACTCGTATCTGGAGTAAACTTAAGAACCACGTGAGCCCCGGAGCTGCCAATGATCACTACCACCAGCGAAGGCAGAAAACGACCAAGATGCTGGTGTGTGTGGTCGTGGTGTTTGCGGTCAGCTGGTTGCCTCTCCACGCGTTCCAGCTCGCTGTGGACATTGACAACCAAGTCCTCGACCTGAAGGAGTACAAGCTCATCTTCACCGTGTTCCATATCATTGCCATGTGCTCCACCTTTGCCAACCCCCTCCTCTATGGCTGGATGAACAGCAACTATAGAAAGGCTTTCCTCGCAGCCTTCCGCTGCGAGCAGAGGCTGGATGCCATCCACTCTGAGGTGTCCGTGACATGCAAGACTAAAAAGAATCTGGAAGTGAAAAAGAACATTGGCCCCCATGACTCTTTCACAGAGGCTACCAACGTTTAAGGAAGCTCTGATTTGAAAATCTGTAGATGAATTCTGCCCAGAGCTATAAATCTGGTTGAGGAGGGCTCTCGGGTGCATCCTGATTTCCCACTTTAAGGAAGAAAAGGAGAATCGGAATGGAAGCCTTTGCAGTGGAATTTGTGGAAATCTGGTTGGCAGTGCCTGGGTAAAGATACTCATATTCAAAGATACAAGACACAGTTTGCCTAAGTTGCTTGGATGGTGGGTCAAAGTCTGGGTAAAAGCAGAGACAAATGCTTTTGACTGTTTCCCTGAATGAAGGAAACCTGAATGAGGTTGGGATTATTAGCATTGGGATTATTGGGATTATTAGCATTGCTAAAAATTTGTGGCTGAATAATTTGTCTTTCAAATCATATTAGGGTGTTGACGGGGTTGGGGGGTGATGCGCTGTTCACTGTCCCCTCATCTGATGGAAAGACCACCCAAGACCACTTTCCCTAGGTTGCCGCAGGTTCTTCTTTATTGTATTTTTTTTAAGAATTATTCTTCCTACGCACTAATCCTTCAGGGAGCATTGAACTACAGTTTTTCAACTATTTGAATGACTTCCAGGAAATAAGCTGAAATTTGCTATGTAATTAGTATTTGGGCCAGTGATAGGGGAAATCGTTAACACTCAGTTAGCCTGTTGTTCTTAAAACCAAATGCACATTTAGTGAAAACTTTCTTCAACTAGGAAGGCAAGGATGAACTTCTCAGAATTATAGAAATGTAAACCGTCATTCAGCTTCTCATTTCAAGTTGTGCTGCTTTATAGAGATGCTATTTACATAACAGATAAGCATATAACACAAAACTTTTAATCACTTCTAATTGTTATATCTTTTTGAACATGTATTATTTCTATGTTGGAACTGAGTTTGTCCTCACTAAAAATTAATTCAGATTAGGAAATAATTTTTGTGGCATTTTGCAACATTTTGTGGTTATTTGTAAATAGTTTTAGCACAGATACATAGCTCTAATGTGTTTACAGAACACTGCAGTGTTATTTTTTGAAATTCATCTTCCATGGACCCATTCAGAATTAATAAAACAATATAATTTCATCAAAATGGAACCACCTAGTAAGAAATATTAAAAGCATTGCAAACGTACTATTTGGACCAATTTAAACAAAAATTATCTTCCTCTCAAGATACCTAGCTATGTATTTTGGATAACTTATGAATATATACATAATAAAATTTTACCTATAAATAATGGAGTGTAGATGTTAGCGTATATTTCACTGAATAATTTTGTGAACACAATTTTTATTTCAATAGCAGTGCCAAAGATGCTTAAAACCCTAGTATGTTTATGAAAGCTCACTGAGCTGTTAAAATATTTGTACTTCTTTGGATGCTGTTAAAGAAATTTTATTGTAATCACATTTTGTCAGTATGACTGAATTTGTGAATAGATTTCTTAAATTTTAAAAAACTTCAATATGAATATTATGTCTAGTTACACACATTGACTTTATAAACTGGAAAGTTTTATTTTATGGATATATTTAAAATTTATACCATGGCTCTTATTGAATTATTTCCAATGAAGAATAAAGCTCTTGATGTGGACTTGACATGGACTTCAGTGGAATACTGAAAAGAATGAAAACAGTGAAAGACTAAGAAATAAACAAAAAATAATATGTATGTAATATATCAGGCAATGGACAAATTGATTTTTCTGTTGGACTTGACCTAACTATCCAAGAAGAAGCTCTTTGTCCTATAAACAGCAGTTTCTTTGCTTAGGATGTTAATAGATAATTGTGATTAAAAGGGTTTTCTTTTCCTCTTGGAGAATTCTTACCCTGTAGGAAATGTGTATGTTACTGTATCACAGTTGTAGTAGTATATTATTAGAATCCAATTAATGATCCAATTAACATATGTGATCTAATTAGTTCTGTTAACTCATTAACAAAATAACCTTTTATGTAGTGATTTTATCTGTTCAAATAAAAAAAATTTGGGAAATTAGAGAAAAATTGTGATATTTTATCTCAGATTTTTTGTCCAAGATGAAATAGTAAGGTTTAACATAATAAAAAAAAAAAGTAATGACGATGATTCCTAGACAGTTGAGCTCTCTTTCCTTTCTGTACATGAATGTGAGTCAATGTACTCACTCCTGTGGCTGCAACTATGATCCGTATTTTGACAGTGTTTGAATCTTTAAGACCAGAACTTTTTTCTAAACTTCAAACCTATTTCCATCAGCTGACCTGACATGTCTGCATGGACAGCAGATTAAGTCCAACATGTCTAAAACAGAACCTGCCAATTTGATCCACACCCCACTTAACCTCTATTTTGTTTTCCTGTATTTCTTTTCTAATCATGATGCTTGTATTCATCTAGTTCCCTAAAGACTTACACTTTGGAGTCACCCTTCACTCTTGTGTCTCTTTATCACCATGTCCAATTCCCACATTTTGTTCCCATTACTGGATGTTGCTTGAATCAGTTCATTTTTCTTCCTCTTTATGCTCCCCACCATGGTTCAGGCTGTGATTATCTTCCCAGACTGGTACTCTCTCATCTGGTTTAATGTTGCAGCTTCCTGACTTGTCTCTCTACATCCAATCATCTTCCTATCCAATTCACCTTTTACCCACTTGCCAGAGTGATTTTTCAAAAACTAAAATTTTATCAAATCACTCTTCTGATGAAAATTCTTCAATGTCTCTTCATCATTCTTATGGTAAAGTCAAAATCTTTCTGTGATTTGGAAGACTCTTTAGTACCTGACTCTACTTATATGTTCTATCACTTGCAAATTCTCTTTCTATAATCTTTGCTGCTAGATTTTAAGCATATGAGGGAGGGGGACAGGGTTCTTTTAATCATTGTGGTAGCACAGGTACTTGTGGCTTCTGGCACCAATTAGTGATCAATAAATATCCATCAAGGAATCTGAGTCAATGAGTCAAGTAAATATTAAAGCCAAGATTTGGAGGTAGATCTGTAAGATTGTAAACCATAAACTTATCCTAGTTTTGTTATGCAACTTGTAGGAAAGTCAGGTTTTAGCCATCCAGGAGTCAAGAAAAGATATGTATTTGTTCAGGATTAAAGTTTTTACTGAAGGCCTTAAGTATAGACACTTGCATAATTGGAAAGGGTTCTATACATATACTCCATTTTGGGTTCATTCAAAATTTTCTAGAACCTTGCACAAGGGAAGCATGGAGAGGCTAGTACACTTTACTAGTCATGATTCAGATAACTAAAAAGAAGCCATGCTAAGTATTTCCAGCAAAAATTCATTTAATACAGGAAATTAAAATCTTGCAAAATCACTCAAAGAACTGGAGAAATGAAGGTAAGGAAAAGCTACCACTGGCATTGAAGAAACCAGGAAATACAAGATTACATGAAACCACTACCAGTGCCTACAACAGAGAGTGGACGATGCACAGGAAAGAGTACAGGTTTATCTATTAAAATCTCATTATCTCCTAATGTCTATTGATAGATTAATGGACACACACACAAATGCACACAGTGGAATATTACTCAGCCATAACAAATAATGAGATTTTGCCATATGTGATAACATGGACGGACCCAATATGGATGGGTATGATGCCTAGTGAAATAAGTTCAGACAGAGGAAGATAAATACCATATGATTTTACTTGTATAGGGAATCTAAGAAACAGAACACAAAAAGCAGGAGCAAGCTCATAAATACAGAGAACAAACTGATGGTTGCCAGAGTGGAGGGTGGTGGGACATGGGCAAAATGGGGAATGGGAGGTACAGGCTTCCAGTTATGGAATGAATAAGTCAAGGAGATAAAAAGTAGAGTTCAGGGAATATGGTCAATGGTTTTGTAATCACTTTGTATGGTGGCAAATAGTAACTACACTTGTGGTGAACACAGCAGAACCTATGGACTTGTCCAAACACTGTGTTGTACATCTGAAACTAATATAATATGTGTCAATTAGATTTTGATCGAAAAAATCTTATTGCCTCCTGCTAAGCCCATAATGGGCTCCTGCCCACTTCCCCTGCCATAGACTAAACAATGCCTTTTGCTTCTCTTTTGCTTTTCAAAATTCATGTGAATATCTCCCATTTGTGGACTATAACTCTAGCCTTGCTGGCAGGGATTTGGGGAAATGCAAACCACTCTCAGTTCTTAGGTTTCTATCCCCTAAGATACAGGGAGAACGTGTAAGGGAGAATATGTTCTCTAATTGCTGTCAGACAATTTGACAATCTTGAGATTTGCCCAAATGGTGTAATTTCTGGTTTCAGCCTGATCCTCTCCTTCTGAGTGCTTTTTCGGGGTTTTCAGTTTACAATTATGTGGGTTGACTTATCTTTTATTTTTTCTTCCCCTTTTCTGTTTTCAAGGCCAGTGTTTTCAAGATATTCTTTGAAACTGGCCCATTAGGATAGATGGACTGAGGAGTAAAGCATAAGGAAAGAATTTTTCCCCCATCATAGGTTGTTTGGAATGGAGGAAGAAGTAATTATATCAAGACTTAATGATCAAGGGGTGCCTGGGTGGCTCAGTTGGTAAAGCTTCTACCTTTGGTTCAGGTCATGATCCCAGGGTCCTGGGATCAAGTCCCACATCAGGCTTCCTGCTGAGAAGAATCTGCTTCTCCCTCTCCCTCAGCTTCCCCCCACCCCCACTGCTGCTCGCCTCTTACTCTCTTTCTCTTTAAAATAAATTAAATCTTTTATAAAAGGACTTAATGATCTAAAAATCACAGAATATAAATTCTGGATTAACATCCTAGGATGAGCAAAGGAAATGATGGCTCAGGAAGAATACAATCTAAAATTTTCAAGTTGATAAGGGATGAAATATGAATGTATAAAGATTGATTCGTGAGGCTTTATAAAAGACACTTGTTAGATCATTGACCTTTTTTCTGCAGTGGTACACTAGTCCGATGTCCACAGACTTCACAAGTTTTCCTAGATATGGGTGAGGTTATAGGGAAGATGGACTGTGGGTTAGATAGTTCACAAGTTAATTGTAACCTCAACTCTTTCTTGTTAGTCCATGAATATGTCACTGAATGGAAATAAATGAAAATGACTAACTCTAAATCTACTCTCCTTTGTAAATCATTGCCAAGTTTTACCACTTTA